ATGCCAATATGTAACTCAGCGATTGCAGCAGAGAGGGTCTCTTTAATATCCGATGCTACTGCTTTCAGGTCCCCTATAGTGAGAGGGGAAGTTTCAGGATGGCCGGAAGAGGGTGTTGCAGTCGGATTTCTGCCGTGAGAGTGAGAGACTCCAGGAGGCTGACGTGGGGGAGAGACTGAAGTGCCAGGCTCAGAGAGTTCCGGGGTCTGAGACCGGAATAATTCCGGAATGCTATGGATGGTAGGGCCACTCAGCCGGCGAGGAGATCTGGACCGTGGGGTGGCTGTTCTCTTATCTGTTTTCCCCATCTCAACTGCGTCTCTCCTTCCTTGTATTACGTATATCCGCCTCCGTGTATCAAGGCTCTAGTAATTAGGTTGTCATTCGCCTGGTCTCAGGGTAAGCTCCCCGGTAGATGTCAATTTGTGGGCTGGCAGGTAACTGTTATAGAAGGGATAGTGGAGCAGGTATAGTTATTTGTGACTGTAGGGTTATAACCAGGTGTCAACATGCAGAATGTGTTGGATCTTTTATATAGAGGGTTGTCAGGAATCTACCAGAGCCTGCAGGTGGGGAGGAAGAAGGGGGGTTGCAGTTAGCACTGCACCTTCTCTCCTAATTGCTGAACTGGACTGCTTTGTTGTGCTACTGCAGGCTTGATGGAGGCATCAGATTTCTAGTTGTGCCTCAGGGCCTTTATGAGAGGCCTTCACTCTGGGCCCAGCTGGGGGTTGCCCAGGAGGCTATGCGGGCAAGTGGAGGACCGGGTGGGGGAGGCTCACCTCCCTCCTCTCCTTATTAGAATCAACCCGCTGCCGGGGTCCCGGATCGGGATAACGCGAGTCCCGTGGCTCAAGCAGGCCGCACTAGGCCGAGATCACCGATGCCGCGGAAGGGGGTCAAAACAACCCTGCACCCGTCCGCTATGTCTCCGGAGCCTAAGCGGGCTCTCTTCTCTCTCGATCAGGGCAGCTGCTCCACGGATGGCCGCGGATGGTGGATGACTCCGCCGGAGCTCTGGATTAAGCAGCCGGCCGGGTCGCCATCTTGGACACGCCCCCTATCCAAAATTAATTTAGTTACATTTGTTCTTTTGAATATTGTCCAATCAGCTCATTTCATTTCTCTTTGTGGGTTGGACTAGCCAAATTCGAACATACAACACTAATCCGAACCTACAAACAAATCAATATGTGAATATGTTCTGAAAACAAATCATTCTAACATAACGATATGATGAAACAAAATTGTTAATTTAACAAATGAATTTGAAACAAAACTAATTTTCTCATTGTGCCCATCTCTACTTACGTGATCCAGTTACTGTCAGCACCTCCTTCAAACCCTTAACCTCAGCGTTCAGGAAAATGTAATCACAGAACTTCTTGGTCTGAGCCACAAAATTGTGTTTGAGCATTCCCTCATCTACTTCATCCAGATTCTGAAGTTGTTCGTCATCAGCAGTCGGTAATGGAAACACAAAGCATTTCCGCTTTCCAAAATACATCCGGATGCGTTCCCTGGGCATATTATACATCTGGTCCCTCTTTGTTTTTACACCTGTTGTGAATGGAATAAGAGGTGTAGAGAGGATGGTTATTTGGGGTGTCAGTTTTATTGGTAAACATTAGTGTAAAACATAATTGAGATCTTTTTTTCTGGACTTGATATGTTCACCTGTATACTTAGAACTGCAGATTAAAGGATAAGTTCACCTTTTTGGACAAAAATAATAAATGTACATTTGCAGGTAAAGAAATTGTCTGCAGGAGCCTGGAAAGCATTGCACCAGCGATGAGTAGATGGCTGATGTCATGTAGGTCTCCTGCAGATCTGTCAGAATATCTGCTTGTCTGTACAGGATGTATGAAATGTACAAGGTATACGAGGTGTACATAATCTACAAGGTGTACGGGATGTACGGAACGTGCGGGGTGTACAGAATCTATGGGATGTACAGAATGTATGGGGTGTACTGGGTGTATGGAATGTACAGGATGTATGGGGTGTACAGGTTGTATAGAATGTACTGGGTATACGAGATGAACAGGGTATATGGGGTGTATGGGATATACAAGATGTATGGGGTATACAGGGTGTATGGGGTATACGGGGTGTACGGGATGTATGGGGTGTACCGGGTATATAGGGTGTATGCGGTGTACGGGGTATACGGGATGTACAGGATGTACGGGATGTACAGGATGTACGGGGAATACGGGATGTACAGGATGTATGGGGTATACGGGATGTATGGGGTATACGGGATGTACAGGATGTATGGGGTATACGGGGTGTATGGGGTATACGGGATGTACAGGATGTATGGGGTATACGGGGTGTACAGTCAAGCAGTTATTCTGACAGGAAGCTCCACAGTTCAATGAACACTACAAGCTGACAGCCACTAAGAATGCCGGGACTTGTAGGCACTCATTCTCAGAACTCTGTAAATGAATGACGCGGCGGTGTGGGCGGAGCCTCACATGGCCACGCTGGTTTCAAATCTGACAGATAGTATGTGGAAACTCCTCCCCGTATTATCTGTCGGGGGGGGGGGGGGGCGGCTGTGATTTTGGGAACATGTTAAATGTTCATCCCTAAACACGAGTGGATCATGTAACATGTTCCCAAACGTGAACTTATCCTTTATAAAACAGACAATGGCTGAGTGCCTCCGGTGTGATGACAGATCTTTCTACAGAGGACTGTCTCTGCACTGAATTATCAAAATTTTGTTAAAAGTGTCTGTCTATGTAGTAAAGTATGCTAGTTATACTCACTGTAGAACCTAAGGGGTTAATCTTCCATATTGTGTAAAAAGGCTGTTTGATCCTGTCTTCTCTGATCCTCCCCTTCTTCCAGTGTCCCCCTCTTATCTCCTGATAAGGCTAGGTTAACACCTATGCAGGTTGCATTTGAGTTGTTTCTGCATTGCGTTTTTTGGTTTTCAACCTGCAATTCTGCCTCATTTTTGTGTTTTTTTTTTGTTTTGTTTTTTTTTTTTTAATTTCTCTTGTTGCTAGGCAGATTTAAAACACATCAAAAATGCAGCAAAAACACAATTAATGCTTTTCTGCAGCGTTTCCATTGAAGTCTATATGACAAACAAATGCAACTTTTTGCATTCAAAAAAGTCCCTGACCTTTCCAAAAAATGCACCAGGTGAAAAAGCAGAGATGTGGACCTGTCCCAAAGGACATCATGATAAATGGACTGCTGCAGAACACGCGTAGGTGTGAACTTTGGTCAGACATATCGCGTGGAGAAACACTGCACATGCTCAGTTTGGTGTGTATTGCTAGAGAGGGTTTTTTTCTTCTTGGGAGAGTGCATGTGATCAGCACAGGGCCAATAACCATTGTCCAGACAGAGGTCAAGGGTTCTGCATCCTCCATGAGCAGAATGAAAACTCCTCCTACAAGCTTTAAAACCAGTGCTCAGCTGGACACTGAAAGAAGTCACAAGACTGCTCTAACTGCTGATGAAAAAATAATTTAGCAGTTTATATTTACTAAAATAATTGCATTCCATGTTTGTGTGTACTGTGAGAGACCAGATATAGTGAATGCAGGGTCCGGGAGAGCGGATATAGTGAATGCAGGGTCCGGGAGAGCGGATATAGTGAATGCAGGGTCCGGGGAGAGGATATTGTGAATGCGGGGTCCAGGGAGAGCAGATATAGTGAATGCGGGGTCGGGGAGAGAGCGGATATAGTGAATGCGGAGTCCGGGGAGAGAGAGGATATAGTGAATGCGGGGTCCGGGGAAGCGGATATAGTGAATGCGGGGTCCGGGGAGAGCGGATACAGTGAATGAGGGGTCCGGGGAGAGCGGATATAGTGAATGCGGGGTCCGGGGAGAGCGGATATAGTGAATGCGGGTCCGGGAAGAGAGGATATAGTGAATGCGGGGTCCGGGGAGAGCGGGTATAAGTGAATGCGGGGTCCGGAAGAGCGGATATAGTGAATGCGGGGTCCGGGGAGAGCGGATATAGTGAGTGTGGGGTCCGGGGAGAGCGGATATAGTGAATGCGGTGTCGAGGGAGAGCGGATATAGTGAATGCGGGGTCTGGGCGAGAGCGGATATAGTGAATGCGGGGTCTGGGGAGAGCAGATATAGTGAATGCGGGGTCCGGGGAGAGCGGAAATAGTGAATGCGGGGTCCGGGGAGAGCGGTATAGTGAATGCGGGGTCTGGGGAGAGCGGATATAGTGAATGCGGGGTTTGGGGAGAACGGATATAGTGAATGCGGGTCCGGGTAGAGCGATATAGTGAATGATGAGAGGATGCAGTGAATGCAGGGTCCATGGAGAGCGGATATAGTGAATGCGGGGTCCAGGGAGAGCGGAAATATAGTGAATGCAGGGTCCAGGGTTAGAGTGGATATAGTGAATGCAGGGTCTGGGAGAGCGGATATAGTGAATGTGGGTCCATGGAGAGCGGATATAGTGAATGCAGGGTCCGGGGAGAGCGGATATAGTGAATGCAGGGTCCGGGGAGGGCGGAGTGAATGCAGGGTCCGGGGAGGGCAGCATATAGTGAATGCAGGGTCCGGGGAGAGCAGGATATAGTGAATGCGGGTCCTGGGAGAGCGGATATAGTGAATGCAGGGTCCGGGGAGAGCAGATATAGTGATGCGGGGTCCTGGGAGAGAGCGGATATAGTGAATGCAGGGTCCGGGGCGAGCAGATCTAGTGAATCCTGGGAGAGCGGATATAGTGAATGCAGGGTCCGGGGCGAGGTGTCAGATATAGTGAATGCGGGGTCCTGGGAGAGCGGATATAGTGAATGCAGGGTCCGGGGCGAGCAGATATAGTGAATGCGGGGTCCTTGGGAGAGCGGATATAGTGAATGCGGGGTCCGGGAGATGATATAGTGAATGCAGGGTCCGGGGAGAGGGGATATAGTGAATGCAGGGTCCGGGGAGAGAGGATATAGTGAATGCGGGGTCCGGGGTCCGGGGTCCCTGGGAGAGCGGAGTGAATGCAGGGTCCGGGGAGATATAGTGAATGCAGGGGGGGAGAGCAGATATAGTGAATGCAGGGTCGGGGAGAGGGATATAGTGAATGCGGGGTCCGGGGAGAGCGGATATAGTGAATGTGGGGTCCGGGGAGAGATGATATAGTGAATGCAGGGTCCGGGGAGAGGGGATATAGTGAATGCGGGGTCCGGGAGAGTGGATATAGTGAATGCGGGGTAGAGCGGATATAGTGAATGCGGGGTCCGGGGAGAGCGGATATAGTGAATGCGGGGTCCTGGGAGAGCGGATATAGTGAATGCGGGGTCCGGGGAGAGCGGATATAGTGAATGCAGGGTCCGGGGAGAGCGGATATAGTGAATGCGGGGTCCTGGGGAGAGCGGATATAGTGAATGCGGGGTCCGGGGAGAGCGGATATAGTGAATGCGGGGTCCGGGAGAGCGGATATAGTGAATGCGGGGTCTGGGGGTTTAGTAACACTTTAAGGGCCACAACATATACATTACCCAACCAAAGATATAGATAAATAAGTTGGATATCTATGTGTAGCATAAGCTGTATGAGCCCCACTAACATTGTTGACTCTTCTCTTTCTGCAGATGTTCCCACTCCATAGCCACATTCTTCTCTGCCATAACATATCAGGGACCTCAATGCACCCTGTTACACCCATTCCCTTCACACTACTGCGACTTATAGTGTGACTTTACCAGGCGACTTGAGTACTACTTTGAAGCGACTCTGAAGCGACTTTCAGGGAATGCTGGGTAATCTTCCTGTAATGTTGGATCCAAATCACATCAATAGAGATTTGGATCTGACTTGGAGGCGACTTCCATTAAAGTCTATGGGCACAAGTCGGATAGAAGTCACCTTGAAGTAGTACAGGAACCTTTTATAAAGTCGGAGCAACTTCAGTAGTGCTAGGTAAGACAGCTCTCATTGACTAACATGGGATTTCACATGTCATGCGACTTGGGGGTCTCACAAGTCGGATCCCAAATCTCAGTGAACCGTTTTTTTTTTCTAAATTCCAGCTCCTCTATGTTCCATTATACTATCAATGTACTTCTTCTGCAGAAATAAAAAAAAGCTTTCTATTTATCCTACACAGCCCTTACCTCAGTGTCCAGCTGGTTGTATAAAAGTCTTCATTACTTCCTGGACAGACCTTGGGACATGAACACTGTTAAAGCACAGGAAGGATTTCACCAGCTGACCTCATTAACCCCTCGCCCTCCAAAGCCTCCCCCCCCCCCCCCTCCTGAGCAGGCCATTTTTTGTTGGGATATGGCGCTGTGTTACTTAACTGACAATTGCGTGGTCATGCAACGCTGCACCCAAATGAAATGTATGTCCTTTTTTCCCACAAATGGAGCTTTCTTTTAGTGGTATTTGATCACCTCTGCGTTTTTGATTTTTTTTTTTATAAACAAAGACCGAGCCAATTTTGAAAAAAAAAAATAAAAAATTAGACTTTTGCTATTAACCGGTTCCCGCATGGCCTATGGCCAAATGGCGGCTGGAAAAAACCCTGACGGCTCCGGGTGGACGCCATATGGCGTCCTTTCGGGCATGCGCAGTTTGCATGCCCACAGAGCCGCGCAGCGGCGCGATCTGTCACCGCCCGTGTACCTCGGACACAGCCGATGATAGATCTGTGTACCGGCCCTGTTGCCAGTACCATGTGACCTGTTGTGACCAATCACAGCAGGTCACATGACAGTTGTATACAATGGATGACTTCCTATCATGCCATCCATTGTATACGAGTGTGGCTAGCTGTGAATGGTCACAGTGATCACATGCACAAGCTGGGCCAATCATAGCCCAGCTGTGTCATGTGATTAGCTGTGGCCAAATCAGTTAAGAAAAAAAAAATTTCTGAAGTAATCAATTTCATTTAGGTAAATGCTTGCTTATAGCAAAGTAATTCTTTGCTATAAGAAAATTGTGTAAAAAAAAAAAAAAAAAAAATAGTTCACTTCCCCAAAGTAGTACAATGTTACTATGGTAACATTATACTACTTTGGCCATAGTGAAATATGAAAACAAATCTTACAAAAAGAGAATTTTTTTTATAAAAAATAATAAAAAAATAAATAAACAATTTTAAAAAATCTTTTTTTTTTTTCGCATTGTCACCAGTCAGTGTCCCTGATCACTACCATGACAGTTATATGATGACGCTGTACTGCACTGGTGACAGTATGTAAAAAAAAAAAAATAGTGAAAATCATTTTTTTTATTTCTTCATTTCTGAAAAATTATGACAAAAAAAAATTACAACTTCAAAAAAACTCACCATGACTCTTATGAAGTACGTCGGACTGTCTACTTTGCAAAAAGGGGTCATTTGGGGGGGATCTGTACTGTTCTGACATTCTTGGACCTCAAAAAATTAGATTGGCTGTTAGTACTTCAGGATTGATCAATATTCAGATCTATACCATAGTTTGTGAACTCTATAACTTTCCTACAGACTAAATAATAAATAGTAATTTGTGTTTTCACCAAAGACATGTAGTAGAATACATTTTGGCCTAAATTTATGAAGAACAATTATTTATTTGCAAACTTTTATAACAGAAACAAAGAAAACGTGTTTTTTTTTTTTCAAATTTTTTTTGTTTTTTGTTAAATTAACTGCTCTGACCTCCACTTCCACCCCACCCTACATTCCTCATACTGAAGCTCCCCCAACACTCCGCACCTTTGACCTTATTACCATCGAGGAAGTCTCCAAGATCCTCTCTGATGCCCGCCTCACCACCTGCCCCCTCGACCCTATCCCCTCCACAACTCCTACGATCTCCCTCCCCCTCCATCCTACGCTCCCTCACCCACATCTTCAATCTCTCCCTCTCCTCCGGCACTTTCCCCTCCCTCTGAAACATGCACTCATCACCCCCATACTTAAAAAGCCCTCCCTGGACCCCAATGACCCGAACAACCTCAGACCCATCTCCTTGCTCCCATTTACATCCAAACTCCTCGAGCGCCTAGTCTACACCCACCTAAGCTCTCACCTCAACGACAACAAACCTCCTCGATCCCCTACAGTCCGGCTTCCATCCCCTACACTCCACCAAAACTGCCTTACTCAAACTCTCCAACGACCTGTTAACCGCCAAAGCTAATGGCCACTACTCAGTGCTCCTACTCCTTGACCTCTCTGTGGCCTTCGACACAGTCGACCACCCCCTCCTCCTCAAAAAACTACACTCCCTCGGCCTCAGAGAATTCTGCTCTCTCCTGGCTCTCATCCCTACCTACCTGTCACAACGCTCCTTCAGCGTTACCTGTAATGCTACCACCTCCCCCTCACTCCCCCTCTCTGTTGGGGTCCCTCAAGCTCTGTCCTCGGGCCCCTTCTCTTCTCCATCTACACCTCCTCCCTTGGCCAACTCATACACTCTCACGGCTTCAACTACCACCTCTATGCTGACGACACACAAATCTATCTCTCAACCCCCCACCTCACCCCCTCGGTCTCCGCCCGAATCACCACATCCTACTGAGCGACATATCAGACTGGATGTCACTCCACTTCCTTAAACTGAACCTCTCCAAAACCGAGTTTCTCGTCTTCCCCCAGCCGGGACCCCCCCCACCCCCCATTGACTTCTCCATCACATCTAACAACGCCACCATCAAACCCGCCCCCGCAGGCCAGAGTACTGGGTGTCATTCTGGACTCCAACCTATCCTTCCAGCCCCCCCAAGTCCAATCTTTAACAAACTCATGCAGACTCCACCTCCGCAACATCGCCAAAATCCGCACGTTCCTAACCCCAGAAACACTAAACAGCTCATCCACTCCCTCATCATATCACGACCACGACTCTACTGCAACTCCCTCCTCACTGCAACCTTCAAATCCTCCTCTTCCTCCCCTACCCACTTGTTCCTCGGCCTGCCTTCGCTGCTGGTTTATCCCCCGCTTCAGTCCATCCTGAATACGGCTGCCAGACTCATTCACCTTTCCCAACCGCTCCGTCTCCACCACCCCCTCTGCCAATCCCTCCACTGGCCTCCACTCAGTGTCCTCCCACCCCCCTCTGCCAATCCCTCCACTGGCTTCCGATTGCACAACGGATCAAATTCAAAATCCTAACACTGACGTACAAAGCTGTCCACCATACTGCCCCGAACTACATCACTGACCTAATATCCAAGTACTGCCCAACACGCACACTCCGCTCCTCACAAGACCTCCTTCTCTCTTAGTTCCCTGGTCTCCTCCTCCCATGCCCGCCTCCAGGACTTCTCCAGGGTGTCACCCATCCTCTGGAATTCCCTGCCCCAAACCCATCAGACTGTCACCTACTCTCCTCTCAATTAGGCGCACCCTGAAAACCCACCTCTTCAGGGAAGCCTAACCCCACCCCCTGCTAACTTGCCGACCTCCTCCACTCTTCCTACCACTCCATCCCCCACAGCTATCTCCTCCTGTGCCACCATCCCCTCCCTCCTAGATTGTAAGCTCGAAAAAGGCAGGGCCCTCGATCCCCTCATGTTTTGCATTGTATTGGTATTGTTTTGTCACATGTTCTGTCCCCCTTTGTAATGTACAGCACTGAACGAACTATTGGCGCTTTATAAATACTGTATAATAATAATAATTAACACAAAATAAAAACCCCAGCAGTGATTAAATACCACCAAAAGAAAGCTCTAGTTGTGTGAAGAAAATGATAAATTTTAGCTTGGGTACAGTGTTGTATGACCGCGCAATTGTCATTCAAAGTGTGAGAGCGCTGAAACCTGAAAATTGGCGCCTGGGCAGGAAGGGGATAAGTGCCCGGTATGGAAATGGTTAAACATGTACAGCAAAAAAAAAAAAATCATCATAAATTTAGGCCAAAATGTATTCTGCTCCATGTCTTTGCTAAAAACAAATCCTGATATGTAGAAATTAAATGGTTTACATGAAAGTCACAGCATTTACAAATGGTGGTTATATATACACTGGAACTTCTATTTCAATATTTTTATTGAGAATCAGTAGAACAACATATAAAATATATGAGCATGGGGACATCTCACAGCCAAATGGTGTTTTGTAGCAAATCAAGTAATAGATAGTATTCTGTATACAATACGATTCTGTATGGTGATAAACAGACCAATATTGCATATTGATAATATATCGGAAATCGTAGCATGCTGGAGTCCATTGAAGTAATTTCTTTATAAAACTAAATGATGTGAGTAAGAAACAGAATCTATTTAACAATAGAAAAGAGAACAGAAAATAGGAGAAAAACTGAATAAGAAATACGGATAAAAAACAATGAAGAAAAAGAAGGGCCAGCCAAAAGTCCACTTAGGAGATCTGTG